ACTAAGAACAATGCTGGGGGGATTACTACACCACATATTAAACTCTATTATAGAGCTATAGTCATAAAAACCATATGTTACTGGCACAAAAATAGACCCATAGATCAGTGGAACAAAATTGAAGACCCAAATAAGACTACATGCAATTTCAGCCATCTGATATTGACAAAGGGGCCAAGAACATTCACTGAAGGAAAGACAGCATGTTCAGCAAATGGTGCTGGCAAAACTGGATCTCTGCCTGTAGAAGAATGAAACTAAACCCCTATCTTTCACCTTGCACAAAAGTCGACTCCAAATGGATCAAAGACCTCAATGTGAAGCCTGAAACTCTGAAACTGTTAGAAGAAAACATTGGCAATCAGCTACAAGATATAGGTATAGGAAAGGATTTTCTAAACCAGACATCAAGTGCCCAGGAAACAAGGGCAAGAATCAACAAATGGGACCTCATTAAACTAAAAAGCTTCTGTACATCAAAAGAAGCAACCAAGGAAGTGAACAGAAAACCCACAGAGTGATAGAAAATCTTTACCAGCAACACATCTGACAGAGGTTAAGCATCCAGAATATATAATGAACTCAAAAAACAAAGAGTCAAGACAGGAAGTAACCCAATTAAAAGATGGGCTAAGGAACTGAACAGACAGTTCTCAAAAGAAGAAATAAAGATGGCTAAGAATCATCTTAAAAGGTGTTCAACATCACTAGTAATTAGGGAAATGCAAATTAAAACCACTTTAGGATTTCATCTTACTGCAGTCAGACTGGCTAAGATCAAGAGAACAAATGATACCAAATGTTGGAGGGGATGTGGGAAAAGGGGAACACTCATCCACTGCTGGTGGGTCAGCAAGCTTGTTCAACCCCTATGGAAAGCAATATGGAGAATCTTTAAAAATTACAAATGCCCAGAACTCAGGAGGCAGAGGCAGCTCCTTGGCATATACCCATAGAACTCATCCTATTGCAGAGACACTTGTATATCCATGTTTGTTGCTGCTCTTTTCACAATAGCTAAGAGATGGAAACAACCTAAGTGTCCCTCAACCTAAGTGCCCCTCAACTGATGAGTGGTTAACAAAAATGTGGTATATTTACACAATGGAGTTCTATTCAGCACTAAAGAAAGATGAAATACTGAAATTTGCAGGTAAATGGATGGAACTAGAAAATGTTATACTAAGTGAAGTAACACAGACTCAGAAAAAGAAAAATCAACATATGTTCTCCCTCATATGTGGATCCTAGCACCAAATCCTGGTAAGTGAGTATGTATCCAGACATAACTACAGGAGCCAAGATAATGAAAAGGAACCAGGGAGGTAAAGGAAAAGAAAGAATCTGAAAGAGAAGAACAGTAGGAAACAGGTATTAACAAGAGAGATATGGATAATAATGGGGTTATTTTAAGGGGAAGGGGGAGGGAAGGTTATACAAGGAACCTAGGGGATACAGGGAAACAAGGAGCTCAAGAGATGTGGGACCATAGGAGAAAGGTTTTATTAAGGGAGAAATGGGAAAAACAGGGGCACCTTAAATGCAGAAACCATGGTAGAAGGGTTAGACAATGTGAGAGATAAATAATGCCTAGCTACTTTTAGAAAACCAGAGGTAACCATATTAGGCCAATAACCCACTGATAAATTATACATGCAACCAGATCAAAGAATGTAATATATGTATAGGCAAGGTTTATCTGAGAGCATTTGGTCTTTGCCCAAGCTCTATCTGCATGACACATGGTAATTAAAAGTACCAGACTGGGAACTAACCCCTTCTTGGATGTTTAACAGACATACCTTGAGATAGATCGGAAGTCGGTCAGAGGGACACAAAGGATGCTTTTTGTTCCTTGCCCTCTCCAGGGGACTATGAGCATCTCTCAAAATTTCCTGTAACTGTGGTGAGTCAGCTGTCCTCTTGGTCAAGGAGGCCATAGATGGACCCCCCAGATGGACCTGAACGAGCATCTTGTCTACAAAGAGGAGGGTCAACACAGAGGAAATATTTCCTCCATGCTTCCAAGTGAAGCCAGCCATGGTCAAGTAGGGCCTTTGACTTATCTTCACATAGATGGAACTGGTAAATGAAAGGAGCCAGGGGCTCCTCCCAAGCCCATGTTATCCCTGAGGAACAGATCCTCAAATGACCTTAAAAGTAAAA